TAGGTGTTGTCCGCCCCGCCCAGCCGCAGAGCTGAACCGAGCGGAGCTGATACCTCGATCGGTACTGAAGCTCCCTGCTGCTGCTGCAGCAACGAGTAGCGGAAAATTACCTGCCCCTCCCCCCTCTCCTCCTCACTCACACACATCCACAGAGAGCTGCAGCATACAGAACCACTTTTACGCAGAGAGACAGCTCCGGGCATTGTTTAGGAACCACAGTATGGAGCGCTTATACGCATGTAGCGCCGGACAAAGAGCGACGCAGTTACCGACGACAGGTTCAGTCAGGATGGCGCATGTGGCCGTATTTAAAATCACACGCTGACCCACTTATAAGCCGCACTCTGAGCTCGTGCTCGTTTTCTGCGATAATCGAAATCTGTTTGAAAGAGCAGAAAGCCGCGGTTCAGTCCTTTCCCCACTGAGCCAACCAAACGCACGGAGTTTTGACAGATCAGGCCACGCTTGTTTGTGCTGAACCACTCCCTGAAATGAGGTCATACCGTCTGAGTGACTCAAAGCATCACAGATCCGCAGCAACACAGTGCTGGCCACTAGCCTACCTACTGAGCTCCAGCCACATCACTTGAAAACATTCCAGCTGTTAGTATTACTCCTAACGTCAAATGCCTCCGCATAATGCGCCAGATTTAACCACTGACAAATTCAATGTTAACAGAATACACAAGACGCTTCTGTGCTGTACTTGACAGTAGCAGATCAGGGCTCTGTACACACATTAGGGATGGTAATGAAAATATATTAGATCGTGTTTACAGCGCTCTGAGGCTGATGGCACACATGTCTGCAGAAATGGACGCTAATTCCCTGCTAGTTCTCTCAGCTGCTCCCCTTCTCGTGGAGTCAGAAGGGAAGGGGGAGGGGAAGGAGATGTGGCAGCACGGAGGAGGAGAAAGAGGGAAAGGAGCGGGCGTGAAACGAATCTCATGTACGTGTCTTGATATTGCAGTACAAACGATGGTGGAACCAGGAGTAAGGAGATTGAAGGACGAACAACAACTAACAGATTTTAAATGAGCATGCCATTTACAAACCCAATTATCTGTTAGGCAGTTGAATTTTGGAGCAGAGAATGCTCAATGAACAAAAAACGTCTCTCTACACAATTGCTTTTCTTTTATAGTGAGAGAAAAAACTAATGTATTACTGGAAAAAGTACTCTAGACTATAAAAGCATAGCTGTGTTTTATTATATGCCGGGGTCTAAGTACAGCCAAGGGTGTATGATTACATGAGTCAAAAGCATAAACACACTCCAGATCTTTGGAATAAAATATATGCTAACCCCACCCCCCCTTACAAAACTGCAAGTGAATAAAAAGCAGCTGCTTTGTGGAGAATGCAGAGACATTATTAGAACAAACAGTCGAGAATTGAATGCTCTAATGGCGAATACCAGGAAACATAATGTGTAATTCCAGAGTAGCTGAAGGAAATATCTCAGGAGCCGCAATCGACTGCAAGACCATGAAGATGAACAGGCCAATATCAAACAGTACCAAACCTGAGAGAATTAAAGGGCCTACAAATCTATGATCCACCCACACAGGTTTTTCTTTTCTTCATGCAATCTGCCTAATAAGACCTCCTCTCATGTCAGCGTAGACGTGTTCAAATTGTACGAGAGCGATATTATTCTCATATTTCTGTTTTACCCGATAAAGTGGGACAAAATGCCCCTTTTCATGGAAAACATTACAACATCAACATGGTACGAAAAGCACAGGTGTTAATAATAAACTGAATGCTATCTGAAATCTACTCCCCTTCTTTGGTTGCTGCCTCACTGATACACTTCCACATAAAAGAGCAAGCATTAATGTTATTAGGAACAGCTGAGCTTTTTCCTGCTGGGACAGGTCAGGCTGCCCACAGTAAAAAAAAAAAAAAGAAAGAAAGAAAAGAAAAGGAATGAATGCAATGAGTGTGGTGACCTGACTTTTTTTTTTTTGCTTCACTCCACTCATCTTCAAAATGACTTAAAAACGAAGGAGTCAAAATAAGTGAAGAAAGCACCTGTGGTAAATACAGCATCTGGCTTTTAACACTAAAATTCCAGCAATTTCCCTTAGGTTTCCACCAAGGGGTTCAATAAAGTTCTATTCTATTCTATTCTATTCTATTCTATTCTAAAATCTGACCAAATCAATTAACTGCATTGCATCCACGATTGCAAAATGAACCAGAAATGTCTTATTTTCAACTACAGAAATCTTAAAGGAAGCTCAAGATGAAGATGTTAGCACTTATGCCTTTACGAGTTACAATTCTTTTGAGTTAAACAGTGCATTCAAACCTCATAGCAGACTGCAGAACAAGTTATGAAGCTATAACAGACTCCAGCAACCATAAAAAGTGTGGACAACACATCCAAACTAACGTGACAAAGACATCCCTAACAGGAAATAGGATACCATATTCAGTCAAAATGTCAGTAATTAATGAAAAATAGTACAACAGAAGGGGAGTGGTCCTCTATCGTATTAAGGTGCTCAGTTCAGGGGCAGTCTACCCAAGGTAGTTTCACAGAGTATGGAAAGAAACCGAATCACAACATGTCATAAAAAGCTTTCGAATACCACTTGTACTTCAGCCGTTAGCTCTTTCACATTAGAGAGACTGCAATAAGCCACATGCTAATCACTTCAACAGACAAGAGCGGAATATTTAACAGGAAACAAGACGAAACTGCTGATAAAAGCTAATGTCAGCAGCTTGAAAAGTGGATAAAAACACAAGACTTACTCAGCTGGACTGACTACACGACCCATTTCTCCACCTGTGTAGCCAAAAGTGACGCTAGCTTACAGAACGGCTGTCATGCAGCTGGTAGCCACCAGCAGCAGCACTGAGCGCACAGCCGTTGACAGCGGCTGAGCGAAGAAGATCCGCCATTTTGGAATTCCCCAGCGTGTTGACATTTTTTAAAAGTCTTGGCGGTTAACTGAGACCACCTTGTTTTTTTCAGCTACAACAACACTGGCATGACACCGACTTCTCTCTTCTGACAGCGTGCTACGACTTCAAAGTTTGTTTTCGACTATGAACAGCTCAACGGAGTATGAACTATTACGAGCGTTTACTGCTTCAAGCGTCTCTTGACAGAAATGGCTCACAAGCGCCCCTCGACAGAAGCAGAGTTTGTACACAGGTTCAACGGTAAGTTTGTTGACAGCTGATGAAGCTCGAGTTAAATTAGATTCTTTTTTAGTGTTGCATTCATGCTAGCAAAACGCAGGAGTGATGTATTTAGGTATGTTGTTGAGAGACTGAGCATTTGTAACGTATTGTAAGTAACCATTGGTAACGCGGTTTCTGTCACATTAGTGGTTTTAGAAGTAATCCTACTTTTTTCTAATCGCATTTCAAGACTATGAATTGTGAGTATTATCAGTGATCGATACATGTTTGGTGAGTTTCGTTTGACTCATGTTGTCAACATTTCGTGGTGTATACCTCGTGAAGCCTAATAAGCTAGCAGAGTGCAGGACGGCTCTAATCTCCATGAGTTTTTAGAAAATATCCTCGAAGTGGAAGGCGTACACACTCAGAAACCCCACCAGTCAATAAATAGTGAGATGAACCAAATGACTCTAAGCGGTAATTATCAGATAACACCAAACATCCTTTTTTGTAAAGGTAGCTGTAAAGACAGTGCATCAGATACATAAAGCTAATGTTGTGCTGTAAGTCTGTAGTTTTGGCACCATATAGAAATATACCTCAACAAACCACTTGATTAGGAACGTTGTAAATTCTAATGCTATCATATAAAACAGCCTTAAATGCCGTACAATTTGCTTTTATGAAGCTTCTACATTTTCAGTTTTTGTTTTTATATTGTTGATTCAGTTTATTATTGAGATCATAGTGTGTGAGGTGTATTGATCTACATTACTTTTAACGGTGTAAGTAATATTTTGTCTACCCTAAAACACCAAAATATCAGGAACAATTGTGTGTTCTTCTAATATAATCCATCTTCGTCCAATATGAAGAATGAGTAAAGTAGAATAGTAGTTTTTGACAACGCCAACAAAAACCGAAAATGTAAAAG